GCCAGGCTGTCTGCCTCCGCCGTCAGCGCCAAGGGCTGACTCCTGGGCACTGCAACCGCTGCCAGCTTGATCGGCTGCGGGCTCAGGCGCATCACAGCGAAAATGGGAGTTGACTAGTTGCTCCCCCAGCGTTGTCGCATCAATGGGGTCGGTCTGGACTCTTGTGTTCACCGCCCTCCGAACGTGTGCATGGTAATTCTCGCGTGGTATAATGTTGGTAAAGACGACCAGGGCGTGAGAAACCAATGCAACCATGGCTTCTGGCGCGCTCAAGTCTGGATGCGATTGATGGAACTGCTTCGTCCACTCGTCCTTCACGCATTCAGGCTGGCCCAGGATCGACTGTGCCAACTCAGGCTGGTGCAGCAACAGGAAATTGTTGAAGGGCGGGAGCCTGTGGGGGCGCGCGATCAGCCTCTCCACTGCACCTGCCGCCCTCTGGATCATGAGGAAGGCCGTCGCGCGAGTCTTGTTGTTAACCTCCTCGGGCAAGAGAAGCAGCCACACGCGGGCGTCGAACAAGAGCGTCCGAAACTTCTGGAATAAAGAATTCTCCAAATCACCTCGAGCGGCCACCAGCACTCGAAAGTCCCGCCGCAGCATGCCATCGCCGCCTCTACTCTCCAGCGCAGCCTTCGCCGCAGATGCCTCCTGTGCCGTTCCCACTTCAAAGAACTCAGCCTGCCTTGGGCATCGAGCATAACTTGTAGTGGACGGAGGACGTTCCGCAGCAACAGCGTCGCTGTGTGGGGCCGTGGCGAGACGTGGTCCAGAAAGTCGAGGCCCTTCGACATGCTCTTGGCCATCTTTTTGCGCTGCTCATTCGAACTTGCCGCCATGTCAACATGTGCATCGTCGGCCTGATCTTGACCGCCGCCTCCTTCCTGGTCCAGAAGGGCTGCGTCGACGGCGACGTCCGCCCCTGGCGCGCCGCCCCCGCCGCCGTCAGCGTCGTGCACGCGCCGACCTTTAACTCGTTGAAGGAATAGCTTGAAGGATGGGTCAAGGATATTGTGAAATGCGACCAGCAGACCAATTCCACTCACAGCGCCCTCTGTTCCTTTCCACCTGTGCACCTTTATGACCTGCAGGCTGTTCGGCATGAGCGCATGGGCGATCGTCTCTGCCAACTGTCGCTTGAGCTCAGGTTCGTCAATCACTTCATCCGTTGGTATCCAGACGTCCACGCACGAAGGGCCCATCCAATCACCATCGGGCAAGAGCGAGAAGAGCACCTGGCGCTGAAGCACTTGCGAACGTCCTGCCAAGAACGTCTTGATGGCACAATGTTTGTAGACGGTCGTCTCGATGGGGGCGCTTCCGCGGCAGAATCGAATCCCACATCTCCCATCTCCACTGAGAACATCCTGCAAACATAATCTGAAAATATTGGTGTCGCCAGCATCCTGCAGTGACAGTGCAATGTGGCACATGCCTGATAAAGCCCATTTCATATAATGTCCACCTTCAGTGTGGGCCTTGAAGTTGATGTGCGCTTCACAATTGAATCCCATGCCCTTCCACGATTGCCTCCGTAACGACATCCACATCCTGTGCGACCCAGCGTTGCTGGGGTGTCGGTCAGCGCTGTATACTCTGCTTTTCTGTTCGAACAAGTCTTCTGGCAACGTTGTCGGATCTGCGTCGCACAGCGCTCGAGACATGCATTCAATGGAATTGTGCTGGATCCTGTGGCAAGTATTGACATGATTGCCTCTGAAGATAACGTATTGGTGTCTCTCCCAACCTGGATGCTTGTATGCGACAGCGAATGCATAGCCTGAGGCAATACAAAACAGTTTACTCCGCTCCGACCCTGACACGAGTGGCTTCCCAGCGCTCGCTAAAGCCATAGTGCCGTGGAATGTGGGAACGGCCAGTGCACCACTCCCACCGCCAACAGTTGAAACGTCAAGGCTTCCTCCTCTCAAGAACATGGGGGTCTCGTCGTACGCTGAGAAGTCGACGCAATTCAATAGCCTGATGTCTGATCCTGTATTCTTGGCAGAAGCAAGCCGAGAAGCGAGGCCATATCTGAAAACCCTGTCCGAACACCACAAGATGCAAGCGATTTGTTGCTTCTCTCGCTGCATCGTTTTCCGATCTTTCTCTCTCCTGGCGGCTTGCTCTTCCAGCGACGTTCGAGTCATGCCCAGCCGTCCAGCCTTGACATCCAAGGCAAGAGTATCAGTGATTTCATCGACGTTCTGCCGTGCAGCGACGATGTGATTGCCCACGACCTTGACAAGCTCAAACGGTACCTGCATCAACTTGGGACGAGTCGCCACTGCACGAGCATCCTCTGGAGACAATTTTGGCATGACCCGTCTCTCGGCATCCAGTCGCTCCTGCTTCCGCCGCTGGTTTGCCTGCACCGCCAAATGCTGCACATCTCGTACATCACACCGTGGCATGATGGGGCAGCATGCAAGGAGCGTGTCATAACGAATATCAAGATGGACAAAGATGGGCACCGAACGAACAATCGTTTGAGCCAAATCGGTTACGGACAATACACTGTGCCACGTTCAGTGGAATCCAAGTCAACGGCCTCCCCCGAGGGGGACGGGCGACGCGTCTAAGAAAAAAACTTATCCTCCTCTACCTCGCCCCTCCTTCCTAAATCCTGCATCCCTCTGCTCCTCCCCATGTCGTTATCATTACCTCACCTCCGTTATTCTTATCCCTCCGACCTTATTCCCCCCGCTCGACGTTGGAAATAAGGGAAACGTGGATGAGCTTAGCGTCACATGTAATTGTTTCGTAGCGCCAGGTCCTCATCCGCTCCGCAACACAGAAAGCTTCTCACATTTTGCTTCGTACACCGGACCTTTCAATAAACATTTTGACAGAATGGCCTCGGGAGGCCAGCATGACATTTTGTAGGCATTTTGCCTCATGTTGCAACACCTCAGAGCGAGGCGGCCCTGCCCACTACGGCCCAAGACCGCTCCAAGACGGCCCACGAAGCTCCCAAGACGGCGCCGAAACGACCCAAGAGAGCCCTCAAGACGGCCCAAGTGCCGCCCAAGACGGACCAAGAGGCCCCAAGACGGGCCCAAGAGGGACTCAGGAGGGATACCGAGAACTCAAAAATGGAGCCCTCCGTCCCAGAAGGCGCCCAGGAGGTCCCAAAGAGGCCCCAAGAGGCCTCCAAGAGGCCCCAAGATGTCGCCAAGAGGCCCCAGGAGACTCCCAGGAGGCCCAAAAGAAGCCCCAGAAGGCTTCAAACATGTCTCCCAGGCGCCCCCGAACGGCCTCTCAACAGACCCCAAGAGGCCCCCCAAAGAAGCATCTTGACGACGACTCTATTTCGCCCCATCGAGAGACGACCCCCAGGGAACTGCTTCACCATCAAAACTCCCCACGCAACGCGTCCGAACGACACCCGCCCCCAAGAGCGCAACATGGGCAACGAACACACAGACAAAAACCAGCGATGCCATATCACGGGCCGGCGGAATGAGCGAAGCGATTCAATAAGGAACATATACAGAGCCAACATGCATGATTCCGCGTTGAGGCCCTCCTCCTCCTCCTCCTCCTCCTCCTCTCCTCCTCCTGCTCCTCCTCATCCTCTTCCTCCTCTTTCTCATCCTCCTCCTCCTCCACCTCCTCCTCCTTCTCCTCCTCCTCCTCCTCTTCCCCCTGGTTACAAGCATTCAGCTTGGGAAATTCAGAAATCCATTATGTTTTGTGCTTGTATTGCGCGAGCGAGAACGAGCGCACGCGCTCGCGAGGATTGCGGCAACCACACAGTGCCAGTTATTCCACGTGGAGGCCCTGAGACAGAGAGTGAAACAAGTGTTTTAACCCGTGCGTTTTCGAAATTAAGATGACCATTCGTTATTGATTTTTACGCACGCGAGAGCGTTCGCAAGCGCACGTACGCGCGCGTGCGCGCGTGCCGTGATGAGTTTGCGCAGTATCACCGTGCATTGTTTCACGTGGAGGCCCTCAGAATGCAAGGGACACAAGTGGCTTTGTTTATCGAAGACGCCTACGGCGAATCACCGCCGCCCCCTGCCCTTTTGGAAGCGGCTATGTGGACGGCAGCTGTGCTAGAGCTTGGCCAAGCTATCGGACCAATTCTTCCCCGAGTCGGTTTGGAAAGCCTTCAAGGAGCGCGTGGGGGAGCAAGAGGACCTCTTGGGAGGCCTCATGGGAGGCCTCTTGTGAGGCCTCTGCGGAGCTTCCGGGGGGCCTTGTCCCCCCTCCTCCTCCTCCTCATCCTGCTCGTCTTCCTCCTCCTTATCCTCCCTCCTCCTCCTACTCCTCGTGCGCCAGCGCTACATGGAATCAGTTTCGATTGCACCCCGTGCGCCGAAAGTTGCCGAGCGGCACGTTCGCTGACGACCCCCAGTCGTCAGTTGCCGAGGCCTGCGTGCGAGTGGGTGCCGCAAGGGAGCTCCACCACCACCTCCCTCCTCCTCATCCTCCTCCTCCGCCTCCTGCTCCTATTCATCCTCCCCCGTCGCCCTCCTCGTTACCCTCCTCCTCCTCGTTATCGGCTGCATGCAGAAATATACGCAAATGCACGGCTCCGTGAGGTGTGTAGTTCGATCTCGTGCACACTTGGCTGCCGAGCTTCTTCGTCATGGCCCCAGTGGAGGGAGCAAGCCCTCCTCCCCCCTCCGCGGGCGCCTGGGCTCCGGCTGCCGGTCGCCGACGCCTGGCCCCCCGCGCGCGCGCGGCACGATGGCGGCCAGCGCGCCCGCGGCGCTGGCGGCCGCCGCCGCGGCCTGTGCGGCCGCCCTGGCCGCCGCCCTCGCGGCCCCGCCGCTCCCCCGCGCGCCGGCCTGGGCGGCCCGCGGCGCTGCCCTCGCCGGCGGCCCCGCCGCCGCCGCTGCGCCGCCGCGCGCGCCGCGCACGGCCGCGGGCCCTGCGCGGGCGCGGCCGCGGGGCGCGCGCGCCTCCGTGGGCGCGCCGCCGCGCCCGAGGGCGGCGCGGCGCGGCGAGGGGCCACTGCGAGGGGCGCGGCCAGCAGCGCGCCGGAGGAGGAGCCGCTGGTGCGCAGGCAGCGGCGGGCCAAAGACCCCTCCTCGGCGCCGCCGGGGAGGTCACAGCGGAGGGTGCCCCCGGCATCGACCGGGCGTCTCGAGGGAATCGAGACAGAAAGTTTCCCTCGCTGTCGGCCTCTCGGGGCCCTCACCGGGCCCCAGGACCGTCACGAAACGATTCGGGATGAAAAACCGGTCGCGGGGGAGTGGTCGAGAAGTCGGGGGCCCGTGTCTCGAAAAAGATCGGGACGCCGGGTGTCCGGGTGTTCGGCCATTTCCCAGCGCTGAAGAGGTCAGGGCGGGTGCTCTTCGCCGTTTTCGGCCTGCGCGGGCCTTGGCCGACCGTCAACAAAAGGGTCGGGACGGAACACCAGCCCTCGCCGCCGCGGTCGGACTCGAGACATCCCGGCGCCCCGAACGCGCCCAAAGGAGAGGTCCGGCGAGCGGCGGTCCTCAGCACCTCTTCCGCTGTGCTTGCAGGCAGGTCGCCGTCTCCGGCGGAGGCCGGGAGCTGCCGCTCTGGGTCTCGGAGCTCCCCGGCTCCCCGGCGGACAGCCGCGACTCCTACGGCAGCAGGCTCTGGCCGGCCGCGCGCTTCCTGGCCGCCCGCCTCGCCGCCGAGCCCGGCGCCGTCCGCGGCCAGGTGGTCCTCGAGCTGGGCTGCGGCAACGGGCTCTGCTCGCTGGCCGCGGCGGCCCTGGGCGCCGCCACCGCGCTCGCGACGGACTACAGGCCGCTGCCGCTGGCGCTGGCGCGGCACGCGGCGGACGCGCAGCTTGGGGCCGGCCACCGGCTCCGCACGGCCATCTTCGATTTCGCCGCGCCGGTGCTCAGAGGAGGGAAAAGTATCGACACCGCTGCACGTGCTGGAGAGCCCTCGTCGCCACGGCTGCCTTCTCCTGCAGAGTCTGGTCAGAGCGCACCCCAGAAGAGGTCCGTGGAGCAGCGGTGTCGGCACCTTTCCATCCCCCCAGGTGCCGTCCCCGCTGGCCGTCTCCCGGCTGCGGCGCGCCGAGCTCGTGCCGCCGCCCAGCGAGCCGCTGCCGCCGCACGACGTGCTGCTCGCGGCAGACGCCGGGTACTCGAAGGCGCTGGCCTGGAGGCTCGGCGAGCGGTGCCGCGAGTCGCTCTCGCGGGGCGGCCGCGTGCTGGTGGCCGACAGCCGCCAGATGCCCGAGTGCCGCCTGGCACTCTCCGAGGCGCTCTCCGCGGGGGCGCCGGGGGGCGGCAGGGCCCGGCTCGAGCGGCACGCCTGCGCTGGGGGGGGCCCGGCGGTGTGGTTCCTGGATCTGCAGGGCGAGCTTCTTGCTTCTTACATCGTGCTCCACGTCGTCGTTCGCCGTCGTCGTCCTCCCTCCTCCCGCTGCTCCTCCTCCTCCTCCTCCTCCTCCTCCTCCTCCTCCTCCTCCTCCTCATCCTCTTCCTCCTCCTCCCCCTCCTCCTTCTCCTCCTCTCCTCCTCCTCCTCCTCCTCCTTCCTCCTCCTCCTCCTCCTCCTCCTCCTCCTCCTCGTCCTTCTCCTTCTCGTCCTTCTCCTTCTCTCCTCTCCCCCCCTTCCTCCCGCCCTCCTCTCTTCCCTGCTCCTCCCTGTCGTCCTCCGATTTTGTATTTCGCATCACCCTCTTTGCTGCCTGGTGAGAAGTTCTCGCAGCAGACGAACTCGCACGGGCCCCGACCCGGATCCTCTTCCGGGGAAGACGAAGGGGGGTGGGGGGTTGGGATTGGGAGAGGGTAAGGGCACGCAGGTATGCTGCATGCAGCTGGGTTCGGCCGCGCCGCAAGACACTTCCCTCGGCAAACGGTCGCGTCAGGCGCTGGTTCGCTACCTTCCTCTCTTACCACCCCCTTCCCCCTTTCGTCCATCCCGACCTGTCTCCTCCTCGTCCTCCTCCTCCTTCTCCTGCTAATCCTCTTGTCTCCTCATCATCGTTCTTCGCCTACACATCTTCCCAATGTGAGTGTTGAATCGCGCCCAGGCTTGTGGATGTAGGTAGGCGGAGACCGCCGGCCAGTGTGCAAGGACTACCTCCTTCTCTCTTTCTCTCTCTCTCTCTCTCTCTTTCTTTCTCCTGCCCCCCACCTCCTTCAGGACGATGGGGACGAGGTCGCCAATGCGCCATCCGTCGTCTCAACGCCGTCCACGCCAGTGCGGCTTAACTTCAAGGACATCCGACAGCGGGTCAGAGAGGGGAGGAGGAGGCGGAGGAGGAGGAGGAGGAGGAGGAAGAGGAGGAGGAGGAGGAGGAGGAGGAGCAGGATTGAGAAGGAGGAGAAGGGGGAGGGGAGGGGGAGGAGAGGAGGAGGCGGAGAAGGGGAGAAGAAAGGAGGTGGTGACGGTGGAGGAGGGCGAGGGGTAGAAAGAGGGCGGTGGGCGGGAAGAAAGCGGACGGAGCAGGAGCAGCGGAAGGATGCAGGACAGAGAGGCAGAGGGAGGTGGATGAGGAGGAGTCGCGTCCGTTGCCATTCTGGTCCAAGGCCGCTTGTGGGGACTCCGTCCCACGCATGCGGAGGGGGTGACAGCCTTAGCCAGCTGGCCGCGCCGCGGCCTGGCAGGCGCAGCAGCCATGGCTGCAGGGAGCTGGCCAGAGAGGCTGGCCGAGGCGCGCGAGATCGGCGGCCGCAGCGCGGACGCGGAGCAGGCCAGGGCCGGGCCGGGCAACCTTCAGCTCGTCCAGCAGCGATGCCGGAGCGCCTGGCGCGGCGTCCGGCATCGCTGCTGGACGAGCTGAAGGTTGCCTTGTCAGCATAGCATCCTCCCTCATCCTCCTCCTTCTCCTCCTCCTCCTCGTCATCATCATCATCATCATCATCATCATCATCAGCATCATCATCCGTAGCCATTTTGGCTCAAGGCCATTTCGGGATCTCTACCCCCCGACTCAAGTGGCCTGCGCCCGCCGCGCGCTAGTGTGACCCTGGAGAGGCCCAGCGGACAGGGGTCACCGCATTATTCTTCTCACCCACAAGCATTTTTCCTCTGTGTGCCGTACTCACCTTCGAGTACCTTTCTCCAACGGCGCGATGGCTCTCGACGCGGCAGCTCTTCAGAAAATGCTGAATGAGACCCTCAGGCCACTCAATGCCCAGATGAATTCGGTGAACACTACGCTCGCTGGCAACTTGAATGCCATCAAAGAGATGGACGGGCGGCTCTCTGCAGGGATCCAGCAGAACTCGGCCACCATCAACGCGATGAAGGACGACATTCAGGCCCACAGCGAGCGCATGGACGAGCTGGAGCTTAAGCTTCAGAGACAGCAGCACGGAGCAGATACAGAAATGGAGCAGGTAGACGGGATGGCAAGCACATATTCAGCGTTTGCGAGGTTACAGAGTCTCGAGGCCAGCTTCGCTGAGATGCAACGCAAGATGGACCAGCCGACCTCTGACCCATGGGCAGAAGTGCGTGGATCGGCGTCGAGTCGATCGACTGCTCCACCATCAATAGCTCCCTCGTCGGTGAGACCTACGGTGCCTACTGACAGAACGAAGATTTGGATTCGAGGATTTCCGAAGAAGCAGTTGAAGAATGTTTTCGAAGGACATTTTGCGGTCCTCAAAACGAACATGCTTGATGAGTATCGAGATAAATGTGTACCGCACTGCCAGAGCCTTCGCTTTGCATATGCTATCAAGTTCGAGTCGCAGGAGCACGCGAGGATAATCTACGAACGGGCGCAAGACCATCCCATCAAGTTCACACAAGCCTCTACTGGCACTCAGCACGATTTGCGCATCGGATTTGACGAACCTTAAGGGCTACATCTTAGGGCTCATATGGAAGCAGATCTGTGCATACATGCGCACCAATGGCCGATGGACGCCCTCGACGGTACTCGCCTGTAACAAGTACCACGGATTATGCTACACCACCGTGCGGGATGAGCCGATTGACCTGGCGATGCTCTCGTCGTGGACCGAATCCGAGGTTGTCGCCGAGACGCGCGCCCAGAAGCTGCGCGACGTCGGCCACACCGCGCTGCAGGTCAAGGATCTGCCTGCCGCGGTCAACAGCGCGTACCACGAGTAGGAGGCAGGCGCACATTGCTCTACTGAAGCGGACGCCGATGCCGCATCTGTTTTTTGCTTATACTGCTGATTATCCCCCTCTTGCTCCTTCATTCACTCGCTGTCTTGGGAAGCGATTTAAGAGCAGCTCTGTTCCCCCCCCCCCCCCCCCCCCCCCCCCCCCCCACCCACCCACCACCACCCACCAACCACCGCAAACCCCACCCCACCCCCACCCCACCCCTGGCAGCAGCGCAGACATTCTACTAAAATATCCCTGGCAGGTAAAGAAGCACATGGCGCTTAGCACGTGGAATTCAAGAGCCTTCTTTGGAAGCGTGCATGGGGGGCCCACTCTGCAGAGAAATCGGATTCGCAAGTTCCGCACTCTTATCAATGCACACACGTTCGTACTCATGCAAGAAACACATGGAACATATGCTGACCTCGAGACATTGCGCAGAGATGACCCCACGCACACGCACTTCGGCACGTTCTGCGAGAATCCGAATGCGGGTGGTGATACCGTCAGCGTGGCCAACTCTTTCCTTGCCAACTTCACGAATGTGGAGTTCTGCGAGCACGTTCTCGGCCGTCTCCTCTCCCTTTCTCTCCAGGGACCCCAGGGCGATCTCAAAGTTTACAACACCCACCTCGACCCCACTCTTAACGATGCTGGTAAGTTCTCTGTTCTCGAAAAAAGTAGCCGAGACCCTTCCCCACAGCAACTCGCGTTTGATTTTCCTGGCAGGCGATTTTACTTCCTTGAGTCAGGAGAGACCCGAGTCAGGACTGATGGTGAATACCAGCGTCCTGAGCGACCTGCTCTTCTACGACGCTTTCGAGAGCTCCCCCCCGAACTCGCTCGAGCTGGCGCGAGACGAGCCCACGCACAGGACTGGGGATCTTGGGGAAGGCGTGCAGTCTCTGGGGCGCGTTGACCGTACATATACTTTTGCTGACATTGCTACGGTTTTGGAGGTCAAGCCCACAGCTGGAATCGTTGGGCACGCCTTGAAAGCTAGCGAGCCGAGTGATCATGTTTCTGTCTTTGTTCGTTTTACACCCGGGATTAGGCCCCAGGCCAGTATTCCGCCGTGGGCGACCGCGCACCCCGAATTTGCACAGCTCGCGGATGAAGCACGGGCTCAGATTGACCTCTCTACGGACCCCCTCCTCGCCATAGAAGAGATCAAAGAATGCATGCACATTGCGTCTACAGAGATTAAGTCACGCACACACCGATATGGAGTACAAACGGATACACATCGCCTCATGGTTCGTTTGAAATGCACGCGTGCCAATTCGCACGGACAAAGCCACATCGTACGCAAGTGCGCACGGGCGCACTGCATGATAGCGCAGTTCACGGACGAGCAGCACGAACACATCATTGATCAGGCGAGGTTCCACGAGCACATTCGCATCATACAGGAGCGCATGCTGGTCCTCGAGCTTAGGGGGCACGAGCAGCCCCCAGAGTACCAGTATGATGACGAGCGAACAGTAAAGCTGCACAAGCTGTGAAGGCATGGTCTCCCAGACACAGACGCATATCTCTCGTAGGCATCCTGGACAACCAAAGGCACGCGCCCACCAGTCTTGAGGACAGCGCCGCCCGGCTTGCTGATCACTGGGGCCGAGTTCATTCCGCCGCTGACGCGCAAAACGTCCCCCCGCATATTTCAGAGATGTTGCTTGCCCAGTGCCAGAAAGCCTCTCCAGATATCAATTGGATTGTTCCGCTCTCTGACATTCTCGGTTTTCTCAGACACAAGAAGGACACTGCTGCAGGTCCTGATGGCATCCCGTACTCAGGTTGGGCTGCAAGTAGCATTGAGTGCAATGAGATTCTCTACCAAGCTCATTTGCGACTTATGTCTGGACACCCTCTCCCTGGAGGCTTCAACCATAGGGCGACGGTTTTCCTGGCCAAAAATCTCGAGGGCGACTCTCTCAGGGAGGTGCGGAAAAAAAAACAAGGGGACCCGACCACTGTTCCTGGGCAATACTGATAACAAAACTTGTGCCTCAATGCTGTGCATTCCTTTTGGTCAGCAAGCACAGTTTTCGGCGCACAAAAACCAGACCGGGTTTATCAAAGGAAGGAGTATGCTGGACAACATTATGTTGATTGAGTCTGACTTCTTGGAGCAAGCGGTGTTTCAAGGTGCCGAGCGAGCTGGCCTTTTCCTGCTTGACTTTGCCGCTGCCTTTCCGAGTCCCGCCCATGCATGGATACTAACCGTGTTACAACATATGCTTATACCTAGCTTTGTCGTGGACGCTGTTCAGCAGTTATATCGGGATATATACACAAGTATCAGATTAGGTGGTGGCACGTTCAGGGGATATTATATTACGCGTGGAATAAAGCAGGGGTGTCCTTTATCTGGTGTTCTAATCGCCCTTGCAGCAGACCTTATTTTCAGATGCTTGTACTCTATTATGACTCCGCTAGCACGGCCATTTGCATTCGCGGACGACATAGGCATTGCTTCCAGTGACCTTGTTCGCACGCTCCCCGACGTGTTGAGAGTGCTCTCACAGGCCGCGAAGCTGACGGGCTTGGTCTTGAACCCAGGCAAGTGCTCGCTGGTATTCGCTGTGCCATACTCCAGGAGAGAAGTTATTGAGATGTTCCGCGGTCCGGGCATCGAAACTAGACTGTATCGGTTCGACAGTTACGGCAAGTATCTGGGAGTGTACATCGGCCCGAATGGGCCTACGTTGTCCTGGGACGCTCCTGGGGTCAAATACATCAAGCGAGTATGGCACCTCAAAGGTCTATCTTTAGGGCTATGTCAGAATAGCATTGCCTACAACTCGCTGGCCTTCTCTGTGCTCAGCTTTGTGGGCCAGCTGTATCAGGTGCCGCCAGCGGTGCTGAAAAAAAAGGAAAAGAAGCACATCAGCTTCTCGCGTCCGCTCCCAGGCATTCCATTCCAGCTGACATCCTTAGATCCCCATCGGTGCTGTGCTTCCCCCACGATCCCAGAGACCTTCAGAGGGAATCCAGGGCCAGTCTGCATAGGGTCGCATTAAAATCTTGATGGCTCCCCGAAGTGCGAGGAAGGTTCGCCAGGCTGGAGGATGAGGAGATCGATCGACTTGCAGTTCCGCGCCACACTGAATGGTATGAATCCAGCATTTGTTATTCATTGATTGCCAATTTCAGCCAACGAACTGCCATTCCTATGATGATAGTCGGCTCTGACACTGACATGCTGCAGAAAAAAAGTGAACAGCATTCTGAGGCGTAGGCAGGCCCCGACTTTTGCCAACTTAGCTCTCCTCCCTCGTATTCGCCATGTCGACAACGCTGCTCAGCTTCCCAAGGCAGATATTGTAGTTATGCGTATCAAGCTTGCTGTCACTAAACATGCCCCGTTTGAGGGAGCCGCAGTCTTGAAAGGTATTTGTGATTCTTGGACCACCAGTTCCAGGTACCGACAGGGGCGACATGCCTGCCTGTTCGGGTGCCGAGCGTGTGGCGGTGATCACATCCTACACTATTTCGATTGCCCATGCGCTCTTGAGCCGCTCTGTCAAGTTCTGCCTCACCTTCCTCCCGACTACCTCTCCTGGACGGCCCAGGACCGCTTGCTGCTCTACAGTCATAATTTTGCCAACTCCCCTGCCATGTACTCTACTATGCTGGCCCACGATCTGATTTTCAGCACCTTTAATTCGCTCAGGAACCTGAAAAGATTCGGCCCTGAGTGTATTCACACATTTTACAAAGCGCGCGCGAGGGCAATCTCGAAGCGGAAGCCTCACATTCGCGCTCTGTTTCAACGGTGATGGGGCTTCAGGAGATCTGGTGTTTGCAGGGGCTGCGCCATCATCATCATCATCCTCCTCCTCCTCCTCCTCCTCCTCCTCCTCCTCATCATCATCCTCATCCTCATCCTCATCCTCATCATCATGCTCATCCTCCTCATCCTCATCCTCCTCACCCCCTTTCTCCCCCTCTCCCTCCTCCCACCCCTCCTCCCCCCATCGGAGACTCCCCCCCGGGCTCGCCGCCGAGAAGGCCTCCGCCGGCATGGGCACGATGGTGAGCATGAGCGTGGAGCCCGCTTCGCTGAACAGCTCGTGGAATACAGGTACACAGTGGTTGAGGTCCCGAGCGACCAGGGCCGTGGTAGCTGCCAAGGCGACGACGGCATCCGGGGCTACAACGCCATCTGGGGCTGCGGCGTCCTCCAGGGGTCCGACAACCTCCGTTGTTGCGATGGCCTCCAGAGCTTCAAGAGCTCCAATGGCCTCCGCAGCTTCTAGGGCCACGACGACCTCGACCTGCACCTGCCCGCTGTCCTCCCAGCAGTTGGCCTGGACGCGGCGGTTTGTCCAGGAGAATCGGCGGCGAATGCAAAAGACGGTGCGTGCGCGGCCCTCCAGCTCGAGACATTGTGAACCAAGCCAGGCCACGCGCCTTGGCACCAGAGCACGCTGAACTACGCGAAGGCGTTGAGATACCAGAGCACGCGCCGAGGCACTTGGCTACAAGAAGACGCTGGGCTACCAGAGCGCGCCCGGTTACGAGAAGGCGCTCTGCTGCCAAGGGGCGATGGGCCACGGAACGCGCTGGGCCACGAAAAGGCGATGGGCGAGCAAAGCATGCTGGGCTATGCGAAGGCGCTGGGCAACGAGAGGCGCTGGGCTACGAGAAGGCGCTCGGCTAACGGTGCTACGTCACGAGAAGGCTCTGGGCTACGAGAAAGCGCTAGGCCACGAGAAGGCGCTAGACCAGAAGAGCACGCTGGGCCACGGAAAGCATTGGACCACGGACAGGCGCTTGACCACCAGGGTGCGCTGAGCTACAAGAAGGGGCCGGTCAAACAGGACCAGCCGGCCGCGGCCCGCACCGTCGAGGCTGCCCAGAGCAGAGACTGCCCGGCAACGCTGCCGACGAGGAGGCGCGCTGCAATGAGGAGCGGTACCCGCCTGCTGCAGGCAAAGTCGCCCTGAAGCGCACCGCGGAGACTTGAGGCGCATCGCAGGGCGCCTGGACGGCCCGCTGGACGACCTCGCCGCGATCGCGGCGCACCGGCAGCGCGAGCGCGGGTTGCTGCCGACTCGCTGGCGCGCCAAATGGTGACCGCAGATCAGGGCGGGGTGGAGCAGGACGTTGAGATGAAGGTGGAGGTGGAGGGGGGAAGGTGAACAGGAAGGAAGGAGGGGATGGGGAGAACGAGGTGGAGGAGGAGGAGGAGGCTTGAGAAGGATAGGGGAGGAGGAGAGGGAGGAGAACTAGGGACAAAGGTGAGGAAGAGCGAGAGGAGGAGCAGGGAGAAGGCCAAGACATCCAGCGGCTCACTGGTTCAAGACACGGCTCCCCAGACCTCTCGACCCTTTCCCCAGGGTCAGCTTTTCATAGTTGTTTTTGACGGACTAGCGGCACAAGTCCCGAACCCGACAATAAGATACCCGACATGATGAAAATTTGATGTCCAGGACCCTACCATCAAAATCAACTTGTGAATATTTCAGGGTGCTCTATTTGGCCAGCATCGCGACGGGTGTCCAGCGGTCGCGTCGAGGAGCTTCCCAAAGGCCCAAAAAGAATGCTACAGTCCAAAAGCCCAGATTCTCGATCCTAGAAGGTCTTTTTCCGAGCCGCCAGGCCTTGTGGGCAGAAGGTGGAGCAGCAACAGCGCCGACCCCGCGCGACGAGAAGACGTGGCGACGAGAAGCCTCACGGAGGCCCAGGAGGTGCAACCAGATGCCCAGAAATTGCGATCCTTGCCCTGACATCCGCCGATGTGGGTTTTTCAGTCCGCGGTCCCAGAGGTCCTGACCGTTTCCCCAGGGCTAGTGTTTCGTTCAAGATATGTGTTTGACGGCCCTGGGGCCCGATAAGGAGGTCGAAATCGAGGAAAACCGCCTGGATTGAAAAATCAGGAGATCGCCGTAGAAATCGAAATCGAGGAACATCGAAATCGAGGACAAATCCTAGGAGATTCGGGGGGGGCCCTCGAACCTCGAGCATCCAGGCCTCCCAAATGGGGTTCGATTCGAGTAGATGGGGTCGGATAATTTGGCCGCATCGCCGATGCATCTGCGAAGCGGGTCGATGTGGGGCCCGATTTCCCCCGCGCTGACATGCCCGATGCATCGCCGTCGTCGTTAGCTCATCGTCAGTGCGTCGGGGATGTATCGGCAATGCGGCGCGAGCCTCCGACCCCATCTACTCTGACCCCATGTGGGCGGCCTCCACAGCAGCAGCAGCCACAGCCGCAGCCGCGCGCTGGCCTCGCGCCAGGTGGCTGACGCCCCGCGGCGGCGGCCGCGGTGCCGTCGACGACGGCCAGGCCCTCGGCCTCGAGGCCAGGATCGGGCCTTCGCGCAGCGGGGGGTCCCAGACCCCCACTGCCGAGGGCCTCGCCTGGAGCAGCAGAACACAACAGCTGCCAGTCAGGGAGGTCAACGCATTCCGATAGGGGGGGAGCGCAGCACAAACAGGTCCTGATCTCGCGGTAGGCTGTTTGCCGAAGCAAGCGCGCCGCCGCCGTCTGCCTTCAAACTGCCTCGCCCAGACTGTCAGGGGCCCGTTTGTGCGCGGCAAAGATGCAGACCCCCTGGACTTACAATGTACACGCACTTTTGGAGGTCCACGCGGATTTCTTGGATCGGCGCTGGATCCCCCCCTTCCTTGGCGCGCGCAGCGCGTCAGGGGCGGCGCTAGAGGCGCCGCCAGGGGGCTTCAGTGCCGATCCGAGAAATCCTCGCGGCCTCCGGCAGTTCATGTTTCTGTCATGTTCTGTTTCTCGATCAATGCGAATGTTTTCACAGCTTTCGGCCTCTGGGGGCCCTCGCTGGGCCTTTTCAAAAACGAGTCAGGATGAAGAGCCGGTCCCGGGGAATAGGTCGAGACCTCTGAGGGTCGACGTTGTGGAAAATCATGATGTCGGTCTGGGATTGGCGCTGACGAGGGCCGGCCAATCCCCACCCGATCCCTCGCAAGACATCTGGCGCCTCGACAAAATCAGGCGGCTGGCTTATTGCCAGTTGTGGCTTCTGGCCGCAAGACGATTCAGGGTGAAAAGCCGGCCGGGGAAGGGGTCGAAATGTCCGAAAGAGTGCGTTCTGTGGGCGCTGGGAAGGGGGCGGGGGCGGCCCCCCTGACATGCCAGGGGCGGAGAGGTTCGAACCACCCCCCCTCTTCAACGGAAGGGGGGGGTTCGAACGGGGGGGGGCCCTGATTTGCACGGGGGGGGCGGTGGAGGAGGAGGAGGAGGAGGAGGAGGAGGAGGAGGAGGAGGGGGCCCCTCCCTGTGTCCACGGGGTTGGGGGGGGTCGAACTGGGGGAGAGGCGCCCCGTGGCGATCGGGTTCGGGTGCGATGGCACTGTTGGCGCGTGTTCGTGCATGTTCGCACACGTGTGTATATGTGTGTGCCTCTGTCGTTGTGCATGTGTGTTCGTGTGCGTACATGTGTGGGTGTACGTGTATGTGTGTTCGCAGTGTGCATGTGTGTATGTGTGCGTGTGTAGTCTGCACGTGTGGGCATGGTAGGTGGTCGTGATGTATACGTGCATGGAATGTACGCGTCACTGTAGGTGTGTGTAATGTGTGCATGCATGTGATGGGCGCGTGTCTCCTTGTACATGCGTATGTGTGCCTGCGTCGCTGAATACATGTGTGATGTGTGTGTTAGGGTGCATGTAGGTATGCATGTGTGCATGCGTGCGTGCGTGTGTCGTCACTTGCTGCGAGCCGCAGAAGGGTATCATGTGGTCACTCATTTTATGGTCAGGTGATCAGATGGTCAGGCGGTCAGGCGGTCAGGCGGTCAGGAGGTGGTCAGGCAGTCAGGCGGTCAGGTGGTCAGGTGGTCAGGTGGTCAGGTGTTCAGGTGGTCAGGTCGTCAGGCGGTCAGGCGGTCAGGTAGCCAGGTGGTCAGGTCAGGTGGGCAGGTGACCGAGGAGGAGGAGTTTGAGGAGGAAGAGGAGGAGGTGGCCGAGGAGAAGAAGCACGAGGAGAAGGAGGAGGAGGGGGAAACAGCGTAATTACCAGGAGAGAGTTTAGTACGCTATTTCCCCTCTTTCGTTTTGGGCTCGGCACCCCTCTTCTTCGCAGCGCCCTCTGCGAGACGAGGCCCCTCCCCAAAGACATCCTTAGTGCTAGACGCGCCCATCTGCTGTCCATCGCCCTCTGCTAGACGAGGTCCATCCCCAAGCTGATAGAAAAGAATCCTTGATAGTAGACGTGCCCCTCTGCTGTGCGCAACCCTTCTGCTGGACAAGGCCCCTCCCCCACTTGATCAAAACATGGCACTTGATACTAGACGTGCCCCTCTGCTGTGCATCGCCCTCTGCTAGACGAGGCCCAATCCCAAAGTTGGCCCAATCCCCAAGTTGGCCCTGCTGAGCATCAACCCCTGATGGACGAGGCCCCTCCCCAAAGACATCATTGACGCTAGGCGCGCCCCTATGCTGTGCATCACCCTCTGCTGGACAAAGCCCCTCGACAAGCTGTTTAAAAAGTACCAGTGGTACTAGACGTGCCCCTCTGCTGTGCGCAACCCTCTGCTAGACGAGGCCACTCCCCAAAGACGTCCTTGGTGCTAGGCGCGCCCCCTGCTGTGCATCGCCCTCTGCTGGACAAAGCCCCTCGGCAAGCTGACTCAAAACGTACAGTTGGCACTAGTCGTGCCCCTCTTCTGTGCGCAACCTTCTGCTAGACGAGTCCCCATCGACGTGCTGATAAACAAAAAACAACCCCCCACTGCCTGGCGTACTCCATACGCTGCGCACCAGCCGCTGCTTGACCAGGCCCCTTCGCCAACACATCCTTGGTGCTAGACGCGCCCCTCTACTGTGCATCACCCTCTGCTTGACGAGGCCTCTCCACAAGTCGATGCTTGTGTTGGAGCATCCTTTGTACTAGACGCGCCCTTCTGTTGTGCGCACCCTCCCTCTGCTGGACATGTCCCCTCGACAAGCTGAGTAATGAATAATCCTTGATTCTAGGCGCGCCCCTCTGCTGTGCGTCGCCCTCTGCTAGACGTGGCCCCTCCCCAAAGACATCCTTGGTGCTAGGCGCGCCCCCCCGCTGTGCATCACCCTCTGCTGGACCAGACCCCTCGGCAAGCTGATTAAAAAAAAAATCCTTGGGTACTGGACGTGCCCCTCTGTGCGCAACCCTCTGCTAGACGAGGCCACTCCCCAAACTGGTATGTCCTTTACAAAGATCATGGATACCAGACGTGCCCCTCTGATGCGCATTACCCTCGGCTTGACGAGGCCCCTTCCCAAGCTGATTGAATCAGAATCATTGATATTAGACGTGCCCCTCTGCTGTGCGCAACCCTCTCTTAAAAGAGGCCCCTTCCCAAGCTTGTTTGCTTGACAAAGAAATCCGTTGCATTAGACGCGTCCATCTGGTGTGTGTCGCCCTATTCTGGACCAGGCCCCTCGACAAGCTGGTTGAAAGATCTCATTGGTAGTAGACGTTCCCCTCCACTGTGCAGCAACCGCTGCGAGACGAGGGCCCTTCGCCATGACATTATTGGTGCTAGACGCGCCCCTCTGCTGTGCATCGCCCTCTGCTGGAGCAGGCCCCTCCCCAAGCGGATTACAAACCATCCTTGATATCAGACGTGCACATTTGCTGTGCATCACCCTCTGTTGGGCGAGGCCCCTCCCCAAGCCGATGTGTTTGAGCATCTTTGATTATAGACGCGCCCCGTTGCTGTGCATCACCCTCTGCTATACACGAGGCCCTTCCAGAAGCTGATTGGAATATCATACTTGGTACTAGGCGTACCTCTCTGTTGTGCGTCGTCCTCTGCTAGACGAGGCCCCTCCCCAAGCTGAGTGGCTTTTAAATCCGGGATGCTAGACGCGCGCCTCTGCTGTGCGCAATCCTCTGCCAGAGGAGGCCCCGTCCCCAAGCTGCTCTAAAACGAAAGAACTTCGGTGCTAGACGTGCGCCCCTGCTGCGCATCAACTGCTTCGAGACGAGGCCCCATCGCCACGACGTCCCTGGTGTTAGGCGCGCCCCTATGCTGTGCATCGCCCTCTGCTGGACGAGTCCCGTCCCCAAGCTGACTCAAAAAGCATGCTTGCTCACGTGCCCCCATATGCTGTGTGCATCGTGCTCTGCTGCACAAGGCCTCTCCCCAAGCTGCTTGAAAATGAATCCGCGATGCTAGACGTGCCCCTTCTGCTGTGCACCATTCTCTGCTGGACGAGGCCCCCCCCCACCTGATTAAAAACAGATTCTTGGTGCTAGAGGCGCCCCCCTGCCGTACGTCGCCCTATGCTAGACAGGGCCCCTCTCCGAGCCGATTAAAAATGTTCTGCGGTGACTAGACGAGGCCCAGCCATGTCCACAAGAGGCCGCTGCTTTGGCTGTCGCGGATTTTGAGGAACCCAAAAAGGCGGGGACACGAAAGTGGCTTCAAAACATGAGGAGTAATCAATGGTGTTGAGCTCCTGGAGGAACTCTTGGACTGCTGTCGGGCCGTCGGTGGAGGCATGTTGAGCGCCTCTCGCGAGGCTCGTAGGGGTCGTGAAGGCCGTCCTGAGGGACAGACCTTTCGGAAATAGTGGATTTCTGGCATGTATTGGGGCCGTCAGCGTGGGAAAGGGCGAGAGGGGGAGGAAGGGAAGGGCCTCTTGGGTGCATCCTGGCCTCCTCGGGCTACTCGGAGGGCCTCCTGGGTGCATCCTGACCTCTTCGGGACTTCTCGGGGCCATCCTGGGCCCTGGGTTGCATTCATGTCCTTTTAGCTCGTCGAAGCGCTTTTGAGGCCGTCCTGGGGAACTCTTTGGGCCGTCTTGGAAGCCGCTTATGCTGTCTTGTGGCCCTCTCAGGATGCTCATTCTGGCCCTCCAGAACCATCTTGGGACCCTCTCGGGGACTTCTTGGGGCGGCTTGGAGTCATCTTCTATGCGTCTTGGGTCGTATTGAGCTGTCAGAACCCAGAAACGGGGAGAACACATGAATCAATAGTTGCTGTTGCTCGGTGCCCTCCTGGAGGGCCTCTTGGAGCCTCTCGGGGCATCTCCGATGCATCTTTCGCCACACGCGGCAGTCAGAAGCCGGAATAGACGAGAACACCAAGAACAATGATGCCTTGCAGGAACAGTGGTCAGTTGTGCCTCTTGGGCGGGGGGGGCATCTTGGAGGGCATCGTTGGGCCCCTCGTGGAGGCCGCTTCGGGCCCTCCGAGGGGCCCTCGCGGAGGCCCCCTTCGGTCGTGCCCCTGGCCCGCCCGAGGCCGTCAGAGCACAGTCCCGAGGAGGCCTCTGCGGGGCTGCCCCGGAGAAGCCTCCTCGGGGGAGACGCGCGGCGTGCGGCGCGCTGCTGCTCTATGGGCGGGCGGGCGGGCTCCCCCGCGCGTCGCCAGGGCTCGAGCCGAAGGGCGCTTTTGGGCGCCCTCGTGGGCCGCTCTCGTCGTGACTGCCTCCCGCGGCAGAGGCAGAACGAAGACAGAGGCGAGGGCGAGCGACGACAGCACGAG